AAGGACTCAGGGGTCAGGGCAGAGCCACAGGAAGGACTCAGGGGTCAGGGCAGAGCCACAGGAAGGACCCAGGAGCCTGGTCCAGGCCAACACTCCAGCCTTTATCTCCTTTGGTCACAGACCCCCACAAAGTGCCCATACCCTGCCATGGATCTCCACCACACTTCTCCTGGGAGGAGTTGGTGTCATTTGCTGAGTGCTTCTCTGGGAAGGGACCAAGGTCTCACTCTAACATGACCCCCCTTTCCCCCAGTGCTCCTTCCTGTCACAGCTGGACAGGATAGATGTCACCTTATCTGACCCTCATGTGCTGTTCTGCCATGGACAGTGAGGAGGCTTGAGAAATGAGCCAGGACACACACCCTGAAGAACCCCAATTACAGGAGCATCCATCTACACACAGGGGTGGCCCAGGGGTGGGTGGGAGCAGAGGGTCTGTTTACACTTCTGTGGGGTGCGAGTGTATCTCAGATCCTTCTCACGGCCTCCTGGATCCTCCATAGGCTCTTTGCCGCTGCTGGGAACACTGGAGTAGTAATGGAGTATTAATGAGGTGTGGTGGGGTGGCCAAGAAGGGAGGGAGCTATGTCACCTCTGCAAGGGAGAGGCTAATCTGGGCCCAGGAAGGGGAGCCAGCCCAGAGAGGAGGAGGAGGCAGAGCCTGGGAACAGGGACACCTGACCTTGAGGGGCAGGAGGGGACAACAGGAGACACTCTGATCCCAATCTCACCTGGGGATTATGGTGAGGGAGGGCAGGCGGAGACAGGATGGCGGCCGGTAACCCGAGATGAGCCAGGGTCTCCTGTCCTGCAGGCTGCCCTCTGGGAAGAGGCAGGGTCAACATGGACAAGCTGATCCAGGATTGCAGCCCCAGAATCTTCTCCTGGCCCCCTGCTTCCACTGGGCTGTTCTCTCTCTTCTCCTTTCCCCCAGTTAGAGTGCTCTTCCCTCTCCCAGCCCATTCCCTCACAGTCCAGCCCCCAGAGTGACGCTCCCCACCACAGGACTCGGACAGAATGCACAGCACTCTCCAGGGCAGGACGTGTCTATGCTGACACATATTTTTCTGGTATCCAGGGTGTGTGGCTCTGCCACACCTCCCAGAATGTCACCCCTCTCCCCTCTGGAGTGACACAGCTGGGGGGAGGGGGTGCACCAAGGTATAGGTGAACCTGGGAGGTGCAGCCCCCCCAGGAAGCCAGGCATCGCTGCACCTGACGTGGGGGCTCTCCAGGAGGTGGGACCTGGTAGGCCTACTTCTGTTGTCAGGTATCTAGAGTCTGGGATGTGGCAGACACCACAGGGGAACACAGCCTCTGCCCAGCCCAGGTCGGGAAACGGGACTTTGGGGCGCCTAACCCCTCTGCATCTCCATACGGTTGTCTGTGACATGTTGAGGTTAGAGAGATGGCAGATACGGGGTCTTGAAATCTCATTTTCCAGATCACTGGTTTCCAAACTTTCTGAAAAATGAGGTCTCTTATCAGTGTTGAAGTGTTATGAAAACTTGTGCTTTTAATCTCAGTTGGTGACAAAGTGATAGGAGACTGAAGAAAGACAAAAAGCTACTATTAATTTCATGAAATTTACCATCGCAAAGATACCAGTCAACTCTTATTGAGCCCTTAGTTTGTGCCAAGCTCTGTTCCAAGGGCTTCTCATGTGTAAATCCATTTACCTCTATGAGATAGCTTCTACCAGTGTCTCCATCTTACAGATGAAGAAACTGAGGCCCCAGCTCACACAGTAGGTCATGGCAGCATTATGAGTCAAACACAGGTGACTTGAGACCCCTGTCTGTTGTTGACTTGCATTTGAAGCTTATGGGGGACAGGTGACTGTTCCATCTATAGACTTCACCTGGTTGCACTAAAATATTTGAATCGCTTGCAAAGATTTGAGGCATTTGGATTCGAACCATTATGAATTAGAACCACCCTCTTTGTTTATCCTCTGTGTCATAAGCCCCAGTTCCCTTTTGTATTAATCTCTGGCGGCTCAAGTCCCTACCCAGAATCCTGCGAAATGAATGGCCAGAATCTCTGTCTGGTGTTGGGGGTTGCACGGATGAGGAGAAACTAAGGCAACACCTCCCCCAGTCTCCAGCCTGAAGCGATTTCCCCTCACCTCTGTTTCCATTTCTGCCACTCCTTGCCAGTCTCGTTTTCGCGGATGGGTATGTGTAACTCGCCGATAGCACTAGTTGTCTAGCTCAGTGCAAGGGTTTGGGCTCTCAAAATGGTCATGGAGTTGGGTTTCTTTCAATAAGTCGATTTCAGTGACCAATTTGTCAGAGAGAACACAATCCCCACTGCATAAACTTTGACCCTCTAAGGAGCATTGGGTTTGCCATCTTCATCTAAAGGGAAGAAGGGTTGCCAGGGACGGTCCCAGCACAGGTACATACAAGTCAGGGCTTAGTCACTGGCCCTGGTCAGCAGGAGCCAGACAGGATTGCCAGGTGCCCCCTAAGGAGTCCATTCAGGTTTAATTCTGGCCAGGCTGTGTCACATGGCCCGGAACTGCTGCCATGGGGGCTCAGTAGTTTTGGATTATATTTTGGATCCAGGACATGTAGCTGAAGATTCTCGTGTAGACAGCAACATCTGCTCTCAGCACACACCCATCTGCAAAAGCCAGGATTCCTTGGAGCGTCCCATTGCAGACTGCTGGGGCAGCTGTGACTTCCTGTAGGGAAAAAGGATACCAGGTTACCTTTCGGGCAAAAGACACAGGCAGTAAATGGGAAAATTGGGTCACTCAGAGTGCGCTACCTTGCAGGGCACCCTTCTTCCAGGCACAATGCCCAGGCACAGCATGCTCTCTTGGATGCGGTGGGTCCTGTAGGCGTCCTGGCACTGCGACTTGGGGAGCACAGTGATGTTCACCTTCTGCATGGAGTTAGGGTCTTTGGCTACAGGAAGGAGGGATGTCAAACCAATAGTACTTGAGTTCTCCTAAGAGCTAGACACCAAACCTTCATTTTTCCTTTTCAATATTATTTCTCTTTCTCTTGGCAGAGAAGAGATCAAACACGTGAAAAATCAGCAGCTAGGACATCATCAAATTAACAACTTCTCGTTACACTATCTCCTTATGAAAGTCACAGGTAAATGGAAGACATCTCAGCAATGAAATGAAACAAATTGCCTTAAAAAGGATTGGAAATGTAAACATTTAAAGAGTGCCCTTTGAGATAAGATTTTTAGAATTTGAAGGGATTTAGAGGTCTCTAGCCAGGGCTACGAACCAGTTTGTTCCATTTCGCATCCTTGCTGAGACTTCGCATTTTTAACAAGTTCCCAGGCAATGCTAATGCTGCTGGTTTGAGACCAGTTCTGAGAACCACTAGTAGTGCAGTGGTTCTCAAAATTTATTATACTTAAGAATCACCTGGGGATCTTGTTAAACAGTAGATTTGGATTCAGTATATCTAGGGTGGAAATGCAAATTATCGGAGGGGGTTCAAACCAGAACAAACCAGTTCCAAGCCCTGTCTGTAGCCTAGTTTTGGAGCCCTGGTGGCGCAGTAGTTAAAGAGCTTGGCTGCTAACCAAAAGGTCGGCAGTTCAAACCCACCAGCTGCTCCTCCGGAGGAAGATGTGGCAGTCAGCTCCCATAAAGATTACAGCCTTGGAAACTCTATGGGGCACTCCTATTCTGTCCTACAGGGTCGATATGGTTGGAATTGACCTGAGGGCAACGGGTTTGGATTTTTTTTTAGCCTAGCTTCTCATTTGTCAGATCAAAAAGAAAAAGAAAAATTTGCTCAGAAAAAAAAAAAAAAAGCAATTTACTTAAAACTATACAGCTAGTAAGTGATAAAACTAAGAATTAAAACTGAGTTCCTGATTCTCAATTCAGGTTCTTTCCTTTAAACTGTTTTTGTTGTTGTTAGGTGCTGTTGAGTTGATTTTTGTCTCAAAGCGACCCCATGTGGTCCTTTAAATTCATGGTTCACCAATACTGTGGGCTGTGCGGGTGCATAAGGAGGTTTTTCAAATCTGTAGCAAAATGAGAAGAACAAGAACAGAGTCCTATTTATACATGTGGTAGGTGTGCTTGCCCAGGACTCTTATTTGGGAGGAAGTACTTTATTTTGAAATTTTGTTTTTCCAAATGGGAGGTGTGTTTAGTTTTAATGTCTTTATTTGAAAATAATGTATTGGCAGTCTGTGTTGGTTTTTCTCAGTTGGAAAGAAGACGTGTTTATTAGTTCATGAAAACAAAACCTTTGAGATTCTTTTTTTTTTGTTTTCTAGTCTGACAGTTGTTTCATGACTCAACAGTTTTGCCAACATCTCCTTAGAAAATATTTACTTAACTATCCATGAGCCGGATCAAATAAGCTTTATTTTTTTTAGTCATATTTTTTTTTCCCCAAAGCAGATCATCCAGATTAATCCAACATCCTGTTTACCAGAGGGACATTTGGCTATTTCAAAAAATAAAATTGACCCTTAAAGGACAACGAACTTCTACTTCTTGATGTACTCAAGCAAATGTGCCCTAAGATCTTAGGGCATTTACTAAAGAGCATTAAAAAGGGTCTGTGTAACTGTGGCATCCTGAGGACCAGGTACAGCTTTTTGGCTTCCATAAGCAGAAAGTAAATGTGGATGGATGAATGTGATCTGAGACACTTGTTTAAAATGAGCTCTCTTTCCATACAGTGGGATCTACTACATGATGCAGATTAAATATACTCGAATGACTTACTCATGAAGAAAGCCATACTAATAATTCTTCATAAGGGACTATGTCATGGTTCTATTTTGCTTAAAGCTAATCCACCTTCCTTCCTCAGTACTTACCACTATCTCTATTAATAGCTATGAATATTTGATTAGCCTTTGCATGAAGATTTTGGGATGGGTTAGCAGGCAGACATACAAAACTCAGAAAGAAAACAGAAAGCTGTCTTAACTTGTTCAAGGTTTTTTTTTCATGGAATCTGAAACATGACAGCTAGAAGAAATCTTAGGTAGAAGACCATCTAGATCAGTAGCTTCAAATTATATATAGAAGACTTCCACTGATTTAAAAGTATGGCAGTCTTTGGTCAGTTTTCTGAAGAAAGGAATGAATGTTCTGAACGTATCAATTAAAAGTGTCTCTTTCAGAAATACTTTCCTTAAATTTTCAATGATTTAACTCTATTACAATCTTGTATAAGGAAAATCTGAGGAGTTAGCACATTATTATGTTTGTGTTTATCTTATGTTTAATCCACTAACATTTAGTTCATGGTACTTCAAGACCTCGTGTTGCTTTATCGCCTAGCATAGTTTGGACATATCTGGTTTAGCATTGCATCCAATTTTAGAGCTAGCTCCAAACGTAAAGGGACCTGCTGGGACACAATGAATTGGGCTAGAATCCAAACATACTCTTTCCACGAACACCATGTCTACTGTGTATGGAAGCAAGGGTGATGGAGGTAGTGGGGAAAGCCTGGAGGACTCTCTCAGTGAGGGTCAGGGAAAGGGGCAGGAGATGAGAAGGATGAATAAAGTAGAGGAGAGCTGTGCAAGCTGACAGGAGAAGGCATACAAGCACGTCCACTTATGAGAGGAAAACAAGGCTCCGTCTGGATGGCACTCACAGATATTACATAGGTTGTAGGCCCAGGTAGAGACAGTGCACAAGGTGTTTTCAGGGACATCCCGGTGGGGCAGATTGACCAGCTGCACATAGTCATTGAGATGAATCTTCCTTCTCAGCTTGATTAACATGAGGTCATATTCAATGGAGGTGACTGTGAAGTATGGGTGGTGGATCATCTTCTCATAGCCAACTACTTGCAGATGTTTTTCACTGGGGTCTCCTGGGTTGGTAGCCCCCAAGACCACCGTAAGCTTCCTGGAACAACGTGGATGTTCATGAAAGGACTTGTCAAGATGATTTACCCCTCCTTATGGGCCTTTCTCAGCTCCTTCCTGTGGATTTGTATCTCTATCACTGACCCTCCCCAAAAGGCCTCCCTAAACCCGTTCTACTGGGAGGAGGTCCCAGGTAAGGTTTGTGCCCAAACTGAGAACCCCAAGAGTAGAGTGGCTGTGGGGGCCTGTCACTCACGGTAGGTTGCAGTGAGCTGATGTGATGACCCAGAGTGGGTGAACCAGGGCTCCAGTACAGGGCAGGTAATTCGATTTCAGGTAGACCAAGTAAGGAGGAGGGATGAGATCATTTTGGTAATCTGGATTGAAAGCCAAAGCAACTGGGAAAAGAGGCAGACACAGGAAAATGTGAGATTTTTCAGGAATCACTGGGGAAACCAAACGAAAAACTAAATGCTTTGAAAAAGCTCAGTGTTTTTTATCTTAAGTCTCCATGTTCCCCCTACCCTTCTCTCCAGCACCTTTATCTGCAAACTAAATAATAAACTGGCTTAATTTGCTCTAAAATATGAAGAAAAATGATAGAAGCCCATCTGTTTCAAAAGATAAAATATATTTTCCTTTTAAATTATCAATACATATTTTTTTCAAATTTAAATCCCAAGTTTCTTAAATACCTTCCGCAATTCGGTGAGCACTGCATTAAATTAGCTCATTGGAATGCTTTGATAAATAGTATCCATTTCTCCCAACACTCTTGTGAGGTAGACAATATGGGTCTTATCTTCATTTTATACATAAAGAAATTGAAACTGAGAAACACAAGAATTAAGATGAGAATTATGAGTAGACCTTATGTCATCTGACACAAGACTCCAGTGAGTTTCCTTTTCTAATTTTGTCTTAAATTTTCTACAGCGAGTGTGTATTAGTATTTTTTAACTTATTTTTTATTCTTCAAAAAGTTTATTTATTTTGTTGTTGTTGTTGAGAATATATACAGCAAAACATACACCAATTCAACAGTTTCTACATGTACAGTTCAGTGACATTGATTACATTCTTCAAGTTGTGCAAGCATTCTCATCCTCCTTTTCTGAGTTGTTCCTCTCCCATTAATATAAGCTCACTGCCCCCTAAGATTCCTACCTAATAGTTTGAGTTGCTGTTGTCAATTTGATCCCATATAGATAGTTCTTAAAAGAGTATAATTCTCAAGGCAGACATTCTTTACTACTTAAGCTAAACCAGAATACTTCAGGGGATATTTTTGATTTAAGGTATAAAGATTATCTCAAGGCAATAGTTTTAGGGATTCATCCAGCCTCCATGGCTCCAGAAAGTCTGGAGTCCATAATAATTTGTAATTATGTTCTACATTTCCCCCCCTTTTGATCAAGACTCTGCTATAGAATCCTTGATCAAAATGTTCAGTAATGGTAGCTGGACACCATGCAGTTCTATTCTCATGGCAAAGGTGGCAGTTGTTCAGAGAGGAAATTAGCCACACATTTCATATCCTCCTCCTATTCCTGACTCTCCTTCCTTGGTTGCTCCAGATGAATAGAGACCAGTTGTTGTGCCTTGGATGGCCACTTGCAAGCTCTTAAGATCCCAGTCACTATGCAACGAACTAGGAAGTAGAACAGAAACACTAAACATGTTATTAGGCCAGTTAACTGGGATATCCCATGAAACCATGACCCTAAACCTCAAAACCAAGGAGTCAAATCCCATGAGGTTTTTGGTTGTACATAAGCAGCCTCAGCAGCTATTTTTTTTCTTGTCATTGTTATAAATATATCTAGCATACGACTTTTGCCAACTCAACTTTTTACAGGTGTACAACTTATTGACAGCCATTACATTAATCTGCTGTGTATTACTTTTTAATCAGATGAAAATAACTGGAAAATATAAGTATCATATCTTAGGTGTTTAAAAAAGGAAATAACAAAAAAAAATGCGGATGTGTTTCATCATGATAATTATCTTTCATGAATGTCTTCACTCTGCTCCCTTTCTCCTCTGACCTCCAGTGAAAATCTCCTCATCCTTCCAGGGTCAGCCCAGTTCTGTGCCTTGTGTACCATCTCTGACCACAATAACACAGCAATGATTTCTCTCCTACCCTCTCTACTACTACCACTACCATCCGTAACAATCCATTGGCTCCTAAACACAGTCTGCCTCATATTGCCATTTCTCTTTCAGTTTTGTCTAGTCTCTCTTGTAAAAACTTTTAGAGGGTAAGGATCATGTTTATACTTAACTTAATCCACCAAATTACCTGCTATGGACTTTGAGACTTTAGGATGAGAGAGTGGGACAGAAAGAGACCATCTAATAAGAGCGGCACATGTGCTTTTGGACACTAGGGCTGGCCACGTGACCACCAGGCTTTCTGGCCACTGAAGCAAAAAGTGATACATCTAGAATATATGACACTACACCCATAATAACCAAATGGGAGGCAAAATAAGGTAAGTGTCATTAAAAGAAGAGACCAAATAGCAGAGTCTGAGAGCGGGAAAAATCATCAATCATTCCACGAACAAATATTGAGCACCTAGTATGTGCCAGGCTCTGTTCTAGGTGTTTGGAATGTAACAGTGAACAAAACAAGGAATGGCTCCTGCTCTGGTACATTCTAATGAGTGCAAGCATTTAATAATAATAAACACAGTACGTAAGTAAATTATACACGTTAGAAGGTGATAAGTGTGATGGGGAAAAAATAGGGCAGGAAAAGAGAGAAAGGCAGTACCAGATGTGTGTGTGTGTGTATTTGAGTGTGCATGTGCATGTGAGTGTGTAGGCAGGTGCATGCATATGTATGTGTGTGCATGTGTGTGTTGTCTTGGACTTTTCCTCTGAGTGGAATGGGGGAACCCTCAGGGTCTTGTGTAAAGGAGTGATGAGAATTTCCTTACAGAGAAGTGTAGGGTGTAGACTGTAGAAGTAGAGAGGTCTGTTAGGAAAATAATCTGATAATCCAGACAAGAGATGGTGTCTTAGAACCTAGTAAGCAATGGGGAAAGAGCCCTGGTGGTGCAGTGGTTAAGCACTCAGCTGCTAACTGAAAGGTCGGAGATTCCAACTCACCATTGGCTTCCGTAAAGATTACAGCTTTGGAAACTCTATTGGGCAGCTCTACTCTGTCCTGAAGGGTTGCTGTGAGTTAGAATTGACTCAGCAGTAATGGGTAAGCAATGGGAATGGTGAGGAGTGGTTGGTTTTGGGACATGTTTACAAGATAGCGCCAACAAGATTTTCCAAATAGGTTGAATGTGGGGTGTGAAAGAGATTTATGGATGACCCCAGGGTTTCTGCCTGAGATCCTGGAGCCATGCCTGGGATGCCATGCCTTTGAAATACTGCTGCCAATTCCTGCCTCTACTGCTCATGCTCTCGCCCAGCATCCGTCCTGCTCTAGATGGATGGCCCTGGGCCAGGTGGCAGAAGGAAACCTGATGGGATGGTGGTGATGAGGGGTGGAGAGCCAATCCTGCACCTAAAGTCTGGAACTTTGTCCCATTTTTACCTATCTTTCTCACTTCCCCAAGGATTTCTCCTTGGCAGGTAGAGAGGAATGCACAGGCACTCACCTTGTAGGTTCAAGACAGCCCAGATGAGGGTCAACTTCATCATGGTGTCCAAAGCTTTTCAAGGGATAAAGTTAAGCTCAGATCTCTGGAAGCAGGAGGGAGGGGATGTGGTATACAAGATAGAGGAAGAAGTGGTCCTGGGATCAAGAGGACGTATCCTGTGAATCCTCTCAGTGGAAGGACACAGTTCCAGAAGACAAATTCATCAGGTGAGCAGGGATGGTACCAGGTGTCCGAGGGGCCAGAGCAGAGGTGAGATGACTTGGTCTGACCTGGAAAGAATTGTTCTGGAATTCAGAGCTTTGCCTGCCTTCATCAGGGAAGAAAGTACCTAACCTGGGAAGAGTTGATGCTCATAGTGCTTCCACAGTTGCCTCCTCTCTGGCCTCCCCTTTGTCAAATCTGAAGGCAGGTCCCTCGCTGGACCACATGTGGGGTGCTGACCCCTCCCGTCTGTGTGATGCTAGTCCCCATTTGTGTGACATTGACACTTACCTCCACTGGACACACCACCCAGTCCTTTGGGCTGACCTTTCTCCCTCTGCCTGACATGAAGCCAGCCAGCCAGCCAGTGTGTTAAGGACATCTCTTCAGCCTGCATGGTGTATAAGAAAGGGGTGCCCAGAAGTTATACTTGACCTGGATCTTAGGGGAAGAGAGGAAGCTTGTCACAGAAAGAAGAGGGGAAAAAAAAAAAAAGATTCAAGGGGAGGGAGAGCATTGGCAAAGACATTGTCTTAGTCCCCTAGGGCTGTGGTAACAAAGTACCACAAAGTGGATGACTTTAAAGTGCAGAAATTTATTTTCTCACCATTCTGGAGACTGACTGTCCAAGTTAGGGTCTCAGCCATCTCTATCCCATCTGTGGGCCTCTCTCCTAGTTTCTGCTGGCTTCAGCAATCCTTAGTGTTACTTTGCTGCTTATAGATGCATCTGCCTCTGTCGTCACATGGTGTCTCCTCCTGTGTGCGTCTCCATGTCTGTTTCCACTTTTATAAGAGACACTCAGAAGGGATCAGGACCCACCCTACTCTGACATGACTTCATTAACTTAACTGACCACTTCAAAAAAACAAAACAATTTCCAAGAAAAGGTCACATTCACAGGTACCAGCGGTTAGAATTTCAGCATATCTTTTTAGGGAATACAACTGAATCCATAACAGATGTGTTACCTGAGAATGTTTGTAGGCTGAGAGAAAGGTGGAATAGAGAACCCATTAATTTGTTGCCTGCAAGTTGATTCCAACTCATAGTGACTCTATAGGACAGAGTAGAACTGCCCCATAGGGTTTCCAAGGAGTGGCTGGTGGATTCAAACTGCAAAAGTTTTGGTTAGTAGCCAAGCTTTTAACTACTGCACCACCAGGGATCCAGAAAAGAGAAGGAGATGCTTAAAATATAGGAGATGGAAGGACCAGTTGTTCACACAAGATCCTGGTGTTAGGTGAGATTACGTGCACGTGGCAGGGATTAGCCATGAGCAGAAGGGAGAGCTTCCTTTGAGCCTAGAGGACAGGAGAGAAAGCAGGTGAAAATGTGGATCATTTGAAGGTAGAAGAGGCAGAAGAAAATGACTGACTCAGAGCCTGTCCATCTCTATTTTCTCCGTGAAAGGGGAGGGGAAGCCATGCGCTGAAGGAGGATGAGGTTGTACATGAGGGAGCCGTGTGGGCCAGGAACGACCTGCCTCGCTGGGCTGATGGCTTAACTGAGACCAATAATGAATTGTACCGTCACCAATATGTGGTCTTTCTCCAGCTGCACTCACAGCTGGGTATAGAGGGAATCAGGGAAGATGAGTCGTAGGGTTGGTTCAGGGTTTTAGTTTTCAAGACAGGTGCGATGAAAAGAAAAAGAAGGTGGGAATCAGAGATCCCAGGCTTTGGGTGGCAGTCAGCATGTCAGATGAGGGTTTTCCCTTGAGAGTGGCAGGATCCTAGCTTGGGAGTGACACTGAATAGTAGACAGCGCTGCCCTGAAGCCTCACCCCTCCATCCGCCCTTATGCCCATGCTGTCCGGGAAGTAGGAAGGCCTCCACCTGAAAGAGTGCAGGAAATGCACTGGCCTCCAGGAGGAGCTGAGGCTCAGGTGAGGCAGGGTCCTGGACAGAGGTCTCCATGAGGAGGGAGAGAGTGTAGGTAGATATGTACAGGATTCAATCAATGAACAGGGCTTAGAGGGGATTGAGTTGGCAAGACCAGGAGCACTGGGCAGGTGAGTAAAAGATAGAAGCAGAGAGAGAAAGGGAGACGTGGCTGCCAGAGAAGACAGGCAAACAGAGGTGCTTACAGTTTGGATGGGACCAAAGACTACAGGAAAAAGAAAAAAATCCCAAACCCATTGTCATCAAGTCTATTTCGACTCATGGCGACCCTGTGTGTGTCAGAGTAGAACTGTTCCATAGGGTGTCAATAGCTGTCATCTTTTGGAAGCAGATCGATAGGCTTTTCTTCCAAGGTGCCTCAGGGTGGACTTGAACTGCCAATGTGTCAGTTAGTAGCCTAACACTGAACTAATATGAGAGCAGAGATAATTTTGGTTTATGTGTCAGAATAAGCCTTGGGTCTCAGACCTAGCGCAGCCCCACTGTTTACTTTAGTGAGGGAGGGAAAGTGTCCACTAGGACTCCCAGTTGTCTGGTGGTGCCCGGTCATCATCATAGCTCCAGGTCTTTGTCTCCAGCTACCTGATAGAAATGACCTCCTCCATGTCCCCAAGGTCCCCAAACACAACCTGCCCCGTGTTGCCTCCTTCCCGGCCACACTCCCATTCTTACAAGGAGGCATTGGTCCTTGTGTTGTCACTGAAAACCATCATAACCAAGTGCCCAAATCAGAGACCTAGGAGTTAACTCAGACTCCTCCAGTTTCTTTTTCTTCTCACAGTTAATACATCGCAATCTTGCAGATTCTACTTCCTTAGCCAAAACCAACCAGTTGCTGTGTGAGCTAATTCTGACTCACGGCGACCCATGTATGTCAGAGTAGAACTGTGCTCCATAGGGTTTTCAATGGTGGGTTTTCAGAAGTAGATCACTAGGCTTTTCTTCCAAGGCATCTCTAGGTGGACTCAAACCTCCAACTTTTTGAATAGCAGTTAAGTGTGTTAACCTTTTGCACCACTCAGGGATTCCTTTTCTATCTCTTTAGTATTATCTCTTAATCCAGAAATCAGATGATAGAAATCTGATGATGTCATAGAGGCATTAATGACCCCCTCAGTGCTCACAAGATAACATCTACATTTCTTAATCAAGCAGAGCAGACCCTTCAGGAGCTAACCCTTGCCTACCTGTATAGAATCATCTTTAACCACAATCTCTGTCGTCCTCTGCAGACAATTTATTTTTTATCCTACAGTATTACTTAATTACATGTATTTTCCAGAGCATGCCACACTTTTGAGTGTTCCTCTGCCTTCTCTGAAGCTGCATCCTCAGGTTTACAATGTCCTCCCTTCATTTGTCTGCCTTTGTGGCCCCATCGCTGACTCTCCCACCCAGCACAGTTTTTCCAATGTTCTCGTGTCACTTAGTGCTCATCTCCATTATAGCAATTATCACGAGGTGCTGTAATTGGCTAACTGATGGCAAAGGCCACGTCTTACTCACTTGTGTGTCCCCAGCATATGCAGTGCCTACAAAAGAGCTGGTGGTGGGGTGATGTCTTAACGAAGTGGGAGTATTGTTAGATCCCTCATCATTCTTGCAGTTCCCATGACAAAGAGAGTGGGAGTCATGGCATGCACTCTTAGTGGCTTTTTTTTATTGAGTGTTTTCTATTTGGATTCTGTTCAAGAACAAGAAAGATGAAGAGGTGGTGGGCCCCACATAATCTCGCGAGGAGGCGTCACCCAGGGAATGGAGGGAAGAGGGGCCTCAGTGGGTATTAATGATATTCATGATCCATCTTGCATAGTGATGAACTTCCGTGAAGAAAGCTTCACTTCCCAGGGTGACGCTGCCCTTGGCCCAGGACAAGATTCCATGCAGTCGCCCACTGCAGATGGCCGGAGCAGCTGAAACTTCCTGCCAGAGAGAAGAGACAAGAGTTCAGGGGGCCTGTAGTCATGGAACATGAGTGGATCCAAGTGGCTTGATACTGTAGCAGAGGCAGCTAAGGGACATAATCTTTCTTCTTGAGAGGTGACAACCCCTCTTCACGTCTCCTCTCTACCAATTCAAGCCGACCCTATCTGAGTGCGAGCAGGAGGAGGAAGGACTAGACCCAACCTGAATGACAGTAGGAGGAGGAAGGACAGGTATTCTGCCAGGTCTCTCCCACTCTGAAAGGCAGCATTAATCACCAGCTGCTCACTCTTGGATGAGTGTTGTTATGGATTAAATGGTATCCCCAAAAATATTTGGTGTAAACCTTAACCCTTGTTTCTGTGGATGTAATCCCACTTGAGAATAGGGTTGTTTGTTGTTAATGAGGCCATTATTAGTGTAGGGTGTGTCTTAAGCCAATCACCTTTGGGATATAAAAGGAGCAGATTAGGCATGAGAAGCAAGCAGAGATGGGGGAAGACAGATGCCAGGCCACATGACGATCACCAACGAGCCAAGGAATAGAAGCTGAAAAGAGACAAAGACTGTTCCATAGAGCTGGCAGAGAGAGAAAGCCTCCCCCTAGAGCCGGCACCCTGAATTCAGACTTCTAGCCTCCTAAACTGTGAAAAAATAAATGTCTGTTTGTTAAAGCCACCCCCTTGTGGTATTTCTATTACAGTAGCTCTAGAGAACTAAGTGTCACTTGATTTCCCGTGAGCCCCCTCCTCCTCGTTCTGTGGTCTTGTGTGCAGGAAGGAGAGTACCTTGACCTTTGAGGAGACCTTCAGAGGCTGTCCCACGCACATGAATTTCCCCTTGTTTCTCTGGAGGAGTGTCTCCTGGCACTTCCTGAAGGGCAGAGAGTGCTGGTGGATCCATGTCAGGACATCAGGGTCACTGACTGTGGGAGAGAAGACAAATGAGCAGTCACCCTCCTTGCCACATGTGCCTTCGGACCAGCCCTATTTCCCACCTACTGCAATCTCTGAGAACAGTCAACACAGCTCTACACTCTTGTCTTGGATGTTCTCAAGATATAGCAACCACTGCCTGCTCCTTTTCTTTTTTTTTGGTGTCACAAGACTAAGGAGCCCTGGTGGCACAGTGGTTAAATGCTTGGCTGCTAACTGAAAGGTTGGTGGTTTGAACCCACCAGCAGCTACTTGTGAGAAAGTTGTTGTGGCAGTCTGCTTCTGTAAAGATTTATAGCCTAGGAAACCGTATGGGGCAGTTCTACTCTGTCCTACAGGGTTGCTAGGAGTCAGAATCGACTTGAGGGCAATGGTTTTGAGTCACAGGACTGCGCTATTTCAGTTTCTTTGGATTGTATCTCTTTGTTCCAACCTGGGCAGTAATTACTCTAGGGTCAAGAACATCAGCTCTAGCAGCTGTTTCCTTCAAGGTTGTCCCTCTGCATGTTCCCTGGCTCCAGCCCCTCAGGACTAAGCCTGCAAAGTTAGCACTTACGGTTTTTGTAGTCGTTCCAGGTCCAGGTGGGGATGAAGCAGGACTCATTGAAAGACATGGGCTCAAAGGCTATTGCTATGGTCCCCACACGGCTGTTGATGGCGGCGGCCTTGGACAGTTTGATCAGCATCAGGTCGTGGTTCAGAGATTGCGCATGGAAGTCAGGGTGGTGCATAGTCACCAAGCGGTCCCGTCTCTGCTCTTTCTTAGTCGGGATGCTGGGTTGGTAGACTCCTAGTCGGATTTTATTGCTTTGGGAGGAAGAAGGCAGGGGGATGGGAAGGGACAGGGTCACACAATGTCAGAACTACAAGAAATGTGAGAGGTCATCCTCTCCAGTCATCTTAATTGTATCTCTCAGACCTGAGAAGCCAAGTGATCGGCCCCTGTCTGTTAAGTAATAAAAATAACAATAATTCACAAGATTGTTGTATTAGAGGCAATGCATTAAAACAAAACAAAACAAAACAAAACAAAAAAAACCTGACACGATGTTAAACTGTGTCCCCCCCAAAAAAAGCAAGGTTGAAGTCCTGACCCCCAGACCCTGTGCATGTGACCTTGTTTGAAAACAGGGTCTTTGAAGATGTTATCAGTTAACATGGGGTCCTTCTGGAGTAGGGTGGGTCCTACTCCCGTCTGAGTGGTGTCCTTATAAAAGAGAAGAAGAGACACAGAGAGACAGCCAAAGAGGGAGGAGGACCATGTGATGACAGGGATATAAACTGTAGTCATGCTGCAGCTGCAGTCAACAAACACCTGGGGCTACCACGAGCCAGGAGAGGCTAGGAAGCCTCTTCCCCTGGAGCAGACAGAGAAAGCATGGCCCGGATGACACCCTGGTGGAGAACTTCTAGCCTCCAGAACTGTGAGAGAATGCATTTTTGTTATTTAAAGGCATCCTGTCTGTGGTACTTTGTTACAGCGTCTCTGACACTAAGACAGGTACCAATCACACAACACTTTCTCACACACAATAGAAACACTGAGATTTGCAAGGGATGTATTGCTTTGTTCGGGGTTTTCTTGCCCTTCTCTTTCCTGCATGATGTGGCTCTGCGGAACTCCTCAACCTCATCTGTGAGCACCCCTCCTACTCATCACACTCTGTCAACTCAGTCTGCCAGATACTCAAATATCTTTACTACTTCAGGATCTCAATGTATACTGTCCCCTCTGCTTGGAATATTCCCCTTCACTGGGCTGCATGCCTTGCTCCATGTTGGCCTGTTCTCTTCAGAGGGCCTGAACAAACCACCTCAACTAAAGCAAATCTCTTGTTTAGTCCCCAAATATTACAGCTTGCTGTTGTTAGGTGTTGTTGAGTTGGTTCTGACTCATAGCAACCCTATGTACAACAGAACGAAACGCCACCTGGTCTTGCGCCATCCTCACAATTGTTTCTATGTTTGAACCTATTGTTGAAGCCACTGTGTCAATCCATCTCATTGAGGGTCTTCCTTTTTTTCGCTGACCCTCTACCAAGCATGATTTCCTTCTCCAGGACTGGTCCTTCCTGATAACATGTCCAAAGTATGTGAGACAAAGTTTAGCCATCTTTGCTTCCAAGGAGCATTCTGGCTGTACTTCTTCCTTACAGCTCACAATCCTTTTCATTTTTTTGTCGTTCATTTGTTTTGGCTTATTTCCTCTACTTGAATGTAAACTCCATGATAAAAAATTCCTTCTGTCTCATTCCCTCATCGTTTTCTCAGTGCTTTAAACAGCCCCAGTTCCGGGCATATAGTGAATGTTCAATAAATGTTTGTTGAATGAATGAATGGGATTTACTCTCTGTGAGAGAGATTCTCCTGACATTTGCCTTGTGATCTCCTCTCAAACCCCCAAATGTGCATCATCTCCCCCACCAGGAAGAAGATCCTCTTTCTTCCTGGAACTTCTAATTCCCTTGGGATGTCATTAAAAACCTGCTGGGAAAATGGAACAACTAGAATGGAAATAATGAGAATGCTCACTCATTGTGAAGAATGTAGCCAATGTCACTGAACAATTTGTGTAGAAATTATTGAATGGGAACCTAAACTGCTGCGTAAACCTTCACCAAAGACACTATAAAACGTTATTATTTAAAAAAAAAAAAGCCTGCTGGGATGCCTCACCAGAACTACTTTTGTTTGAGCAGGCCCCAACCAGGTCCCAGAACAAAGAGGTACTTACGGTGAGGGGCAGTGAGCTGCTGTCAGCACCCATTCAGGGTGAATGAGAGACCCCACACAGGGCTCAGGGCTGGACTGCAGGTAGACCATGTAAGGAATATTATAATCTTCTGGTAAATTCAATTTAGCATCTTGAAAATTGGAGGCCAGAACGACTTCTGGAGAATTGATAAGGTCACAGGAGAGAGAGAGACAGAAAAGTTGAGAGGTCAGAATAGGCCAGGGCATATTTTCCCAAACTTCTACTCTGTCCTTTAGGGTCACTATGGGTCAGAACTGACTCAATGGCAACGGGTTTGGTTTTTCAGTTCAAGGTCTTCAACGTTAATATCAGACTATTTTTCATTTAATATATTTTTTAATATTTAAAAAAATCCAAGGGAATCATGGATGTCACCCAAACTATATATTTAAAAAAAAAAAAGTTGCCTTCGAGTCCATTCTGACTCATGATGATGACCCCACATGTGCAGAGTAGAACTGCTCTGTAGAGAGTTCTTGGTTGTAATCTTTTAGGAAGCAGATTGCCAGGTCTTGCTCCCATGGAGCCACTGGGTGGGTTCCAACTGCCAACCTTTAGGTTAGCAGCTGAGCACTTAATTTTTGCACCACTAGGGCTCCTTTCGAAGCTATGTTCCTTAAGGAACTTGACACAATGTCTCCCTGTTCGAGATGGAATTACATTGAAGTCGTGAGTCACTAACTCATGGGCCTATCTCATGCTGACCAGATACTCTGATTGGCAGAGCTTTCTGTGTTAACAATGAATGATTACTTTAAAAACATTGCTGTTGTCTTATAATAACTTTTCAGAGAGTGAGGGTCACGGGTAAAAAAATGAAACACAGCCGGACTTTGGTGGTAGAAAGAACAAGAAAGCTTGGGCAAGGGCCATGAGGCTTCAGAGCCGTTGTCATCCCTGTCCTTCCTGGGCCCACTCCTCTAACTCCCTCCTGCCCAGGTAGAGGGGAGGGTGGCTGCCAGGAAAAGCAAGAATCTAGGAAACCACATGCTCAGGAGCTGAAAGGGCTCCCAGGAGCAGAGGATGTTTACAGCAAGTGCATCCTGACTGCTCACAGTTGCCCTGGGCGTGGAGAGAGCATTGATGGGAGCAGCTCTGCATAGAAAGTGGTTCCTGCTGTCACCTGCAGGAGCTCATTGTTTTTTAAATTAATTAATTATTTTTTTGTTGCTGTAAAACTGTAGATAACACAACTTTTGCCATTTCAACATTCTTCACATGCACAATTCAGTGACACGGACTTTATCAATCCTGTTGTGCAACCATCACCAGTAAAACCAACAACCAAACCAGAGTCGATTCTAATTCATAGCAACCCTATAGGACAGGGTAGAAATGCACCCTAGGGTTTCCAAGGAGCAGCTGGTGGATTCAAACTGCCGACCTCTTGGTTAGCAGCCAAATGCTTAACCACTGCACCACCAGGGCTCCAACTATCACCAATATTCATTGCCAAATTTTCCATCCCCATAAACAAAAAACTTAATGCTTCTGAAACAGTGAGCTCGTTGATTTTTAACTGCCCTCCACAGCCCATCTCTTTAGTAGTGGCTGGCTACTTCCGGTTCCCGGCCTTCCTCACTCCAACCCTTACGGCACTCTGGGTGGAACAGGGCCCCACTCACCAGCTGCACACAGGAGAGTGAAGACCACATGACACTTCATGGTGCCTGGGACCACCAGGACATGCAAGTCAGATCGAGTGGCAACCTGTCCCAGTCTTTGGTAGGAATGTCCCTGGCAGGAATAGCTGGGGAAAAGCAGGGGGCAAAGGAGGGAGGGGACAAGGCTCTTACAGCAGTCCTCGATCTAGTCTTTATCAAGACCCAGTGATATCAGCACCGCTAGGTGCTGCCTCTCATGTGGGTGAAAAAGAGGGGAAGGAGAGGACCTAGCACACCCTGGCTCCTCTCTGATCTGAACGTGTCCCCAGGACTTTGTATCTAGCAGGGACACTTCCCTCCCCTCTCTGTGACATAGGCGCTGTTGCCCCCTCCTCCCTTTGTGACTGTGAACTCTCCTGCCCTCCTTGCCCTTGGCCACTTGGTCCTTCTCCTAAGACGCCCCCGTGGCTTGCAGACTCACAACACTGTGGTGTGAAATACATTCAATATGTGGTTGTTTCCTCCTCCATCATTTCAGTGATGAGAAAGCTGTGTCCTCATGAGTGTTAGTGGCTGAGTCAGGACTCGGAAATCAGTCTGCCGATTCTCTGTGAAAATGGTGAATTCTGCCCTAGCCCTGAGCTCCCAGGAAACAGCCATGGGTTAAGAAGCATTCACCCTTCTGTGTTCCGGGAAATGGCTTTCTGCAAAGAACACCCTTTCCTGTAAGGCTTTAATACAACTCCCTGTCCACTCATCTCGTGACTTGCATAAGACTTGTGGGTGACCCCTTGTTTACCTGTGACAGGACCTCACACAGACCCTCCAACTCCTCATTCTTTGCCTCATGAATGCCTAGCTAAGATTAAAACTGTTTGCCCCCCCCCCCCCCCCGAAAGAGCCCCTGGGAGGTGCCAACAGTTAATGCACTCGGCTGCTAACTGAAAGATTGGAGGTACAGGTTCACCCAGAGATGCCTTGGAAGAAAGTCCTGTCAATCTAATTCCAAAAGGTCATAGCCACTGAAAACCCTATGGAGCACAGTTCTACTTGGACACGCTTGGGGTCACCAGGAGTGGTAGGCTACTAGACTGCCCCCTGAAACTAGCTTGACCCAGAGATGCACAGTTCCTGCTCAGCTAACTGACTGAGACTTGCCCTGATTGCAAACAACGCCCACCGTAAATCTTCCCACCTGTGACCTATCTGCTCATCCCTGTGAAAGGCTAAGGCAAACCCCCAGTCAGGACGCCCGATCTTCGGCTCTGAGGTGCCCTCCCTTTTTCGACCGGCAGCTGGTTTGGTTTTGGTTTCATTCCTATTTGCAGTGTTCTGGGCTCTTTCAGCTCTGCCTCTGAGACCTTATTAGACTGGAAGCCACCCACAGTGGAGTCCAGTGATTACACTGGACAGAAGTAGGAAGAGATTAGATTGAACTCTTCCAAATAAATGGATATCCATAAGGCTAAAATCTTTTGAGTTTGTATCCTGTGATGGTTAAGGTTATCTGTCAACTTGGCTAGGCCATGATTCTCAGTGGTTGGGCAGATATTATGTAATCATCCTCCAGTTGTGATCTGATGTGAGCAACCAATCAGTTGAAAGAGGAGTTTCCTTGGGGGTGTGGCCCGCATCCAATGTATATGGATGTTCTGGCAAACCTTGCCCTCTCTTTGTCCTGCCTCCAACGCATCATCTTCTGATCTCGGGTTCTTGGAACGTGAACCGGCAGCTGGCCACCTGGCCTGGAGATGTTGGATTTGCCAACTTCCTTAGCCCCCTGAGGCAGCACCCTGCTGTCTGACCTGTGGATATTGGGTTCCTAAGCCCCTGCAAACACATGAATCAGGAGAAGTCCCAGTCTGACGCTTGACCCATGGATTTGGGACCTGCCAGCCTCCATAACTGCATGAGCAAGTTCCTTGACATAAATCTCTTTTTATATATATATATATATGTATATATATGCTTCACTGGATTTCTCCTCTGAAGAATGAAGCCTAAGACATATCCCTTCAATGAGGCTGACGTTCTTGGTTGACTTTTAAAAGTAATACTATAATAATACTAAGATTGTAAATACCTTCATTTTTAAAGGCTTTTAAAAATGTGATTTCAATACTAAAGTTATTTATAACTGAATATCTCCTAAGTGATATGATTGAATTTATACATCTTTTTATACTTATATGCATATTTTAATAGATTAATTACTAGAAGTTAAGTTGCTGGGTCAAAGACGCCACAGAATTTCCATTTTTTTTTTAATATTTTATTGTACTTCAGGTGAAGGCTTACAGAACAAATAGTTTCTCATGAAACAGTAGTACACATATTGTTTTATGACAT